TGATCCGTAAATTCATCAAAAATTGCTGTTTTTATTGTTTGATTACTACATTTTACCATATAATGATCTAAGCAAGCGTTTTTTCTCGTAGCTAATGCATTAAAAATATAACTAGTATTATATTAGATGCTCATTGTGTCGTTATCTTTAGTCGTCGTGGTGAAAATGCACCTTAACAGTGGAATAACACAACGTCGGCAATTTATTGCCTTCAGGTGGTTTGCAAACGCATCGTGCTATTTTCGACGATAGCGTGATACTGTGAAGTTGGTACCGAACATCGATTGTTTTGGTCTAATAAACTAATTATAATTATTAATTTAAGTTATAATTTCGATTGTGTATTAGAAAAATCTGTTTGTTTTTACTTTAGAATACCAAAACTAGCGTTCTTTTTTAGATTTTCGGTTTCTTTAAAATTACAACTTTCTCGAGATATATTGTTCTATAGAACTGTGAATATGTGTTTATACACAAAACATAAAATTAGCTGGAACAGTCGCCAACGTCCATACCACGTTGAACACACCGGTTCTCGTCCGATCACCGAAGTTAAGCAACGTCGGGCGCGGTCAGTACTTGGATGGGTGACCGCCTGGGAACACCGCGTGATGTTGGCTTTTTGCTGTTTTTTTTTTAAATACACGATAACCAAGTGTTGATATCAATATGTGTTAATCAGTAAAAAAACAGTAAATACTTCTCATCAATGATTTAAAGAAAAAAGATGGAATATAGGCTTACATAGTATTTTTCTCTAGCTTCTTATTTACTTATATTAATTGACCAAAGAGATTCAAAAAGTATATAGAGGAGGCATAGTTGACACTTCACTAACGCTGTCCATTCATAGATCCTCATAACCACAGGCCATAATTAAATGTTAAAATAATTGCCGATATGTCTATTTCATTGTTGATATTAAATTTTGTAAAATGTTTATTTTATTTTAGAACAAAAGATGGAGCTTATTATAATTTAATAAATGTTGTTCGCTATGCCTCGTCTATACATTTTTAAACGTCTTTGGTAGATACACGTAGGTACTTTACAAAAATGTTTCCATCGCAACCTTTAAAAAAATGCAAGTGTACATGATATATGTATTAATTGTGCAAAATAAGTGAATTATAAGCCGATCCACAGGTAATAATGAGATTATCTAGATGGCGCCTGCTCCATCATTCCAACTTTTTGCATTCCTTTAGCGAAACCGTGTAGTGTCATGTTAATACGATTTATCGCTTCGTAGTACATTCTGATCGTAATCTTTGATAACTCCATTTATACAAGATCAATGTAATGCAAATAAGCTGACAGAGATCTTAATATATCTTTTTCAATGTTAAAAGGTTTTTAGCATTGACAACTTGTATTAAACGAGTTTACGATCTGAAACACTGTTACAAAAACATAATTTGTATCCTCTTCTCTTACCTATCTTATTCTAAAAGGAGAGGATTGAAAGGGGAATTAGATTTGGCAGCGGATGGGGTACTATCCTCCTTCCGTACGTCTCCTCCTTTGTCGATTTAAGGAAGGCAATGCGTCTGCCAATTATTGCGTATTCAAATGGCTACTTGCTTATGTATCGTCGTCCTTTCTTTCTATTTGAGTAAACAAAGATAGAAATAATTCGTTTTTCTTTTGTTCCAGATGATACTTATACAGTAATCGAAGCGTCGACCAATGAGAGACTGCGTCTAGTCTGCGGATTGAGGCCGAGAAGTCAAACGCAGGGGGTGCGATGGCATTTTGATGGGAAACCGTTGGAAGGACAAAATAGACAACGGGTAGTTCTACAACGACAATGGTAGGATTATGAAACTATTTGTAAAAAAATAAACATTTAATTTCGTTAGAGGTACAAGTAGATTGGAATATTGAAAGAGGTCCTAAAAGGCAACATTTTTTTAAATTTAAGACCTCTTTCCGTTTTATATTTACTAGAGAGAATTTTCCAATAAACACTCACACACAAACATGCACTTACCTTTTATTGTTTACACAAAATTAATTAATTAAATAGAGAAAAATGCTCAAAAATTGGAACCAAAAATATTAATGGACACATTAAACTAGTAAAGACAATTTTCTAAACTTGTACACAAAATAAAGCAATAAACATAAGCAACAATATCTTAAATTAAAATGAATACAAGAATGCTCAAATCAAAACGCAGTACACATTGAGAATCTAAAAGCATAAGCCATAACTCATGGTACACGCCGGCTATCGGGACGTTTCTATTTGACGCAAATAAAGCACACTGTCGATCAAAACATCGTATCAAATCAATCAAGCTGCACGCTGATCCGAGATTAAAGTCTAGTCTATTCTAGGCTCCTTGAATAGTTAATGTTCCTAGAGACTTGTCCACAACGAGAAATAATTTTACCCCATTTAAAGTTAATAAGATAGAAGACTCTTAGTTGAGATTCATAGTTAAGGAACAAAATATCGTTTCAGTATTCGGTCGTATAGATATTTATCAAATTTGAGTATCTAATATAAAATACCCAGTTAGAATGATTAGGCTTTTTTTATTCTCTACTAGCTTAGTGTCTAGTCTCTTAGTGTCTCTACTAGCAGACTCCGTCTGCGTGATACTAAAAAAAAGCTTAAATAGTTGGAAATATTTTTTTAGACTATGTTCTACATTTGTGCCAAATCTCATCGAGATCCGTTGAGCCGTTTAGGCTACAAACTCTTACAAACATCCATCAATCCAAACTATCGCATTTATAACATTAGTAAGATTTTCTAAACTAAAATCTTCATACATCCTTTTAAAGCTTTCAGTCAGGTTTAAAAATTTTATATGATTCTTTGCTTATAACTAAAGATCAAATAATAAAGCAGGTGTTCCAATAACTTAGTCTTTAGAAACCGTCGTCTTTACGCAGCATACGAAATAAATGCTCGTACTTGAACATTTGCATTCAAAACATGTTCGGATTCTAATGTAACCGCAAGTGTAACGCTGGTAGCATCAGACATGTCATGTTAACCAAATTACAACTTACAATCGGATTTAACATTTACAAATGCTATTGTTACAATTGGTTTCAATTGTTATTTTAGTGTCTAAAAGTTACAAAATGCATAAAGAAAAGATATGGAGGAATCGCATGCAACAAGAAGGATTTTAGTTATGAGTGTGGTGGTAGAAAGAGATGGATGTATTGCATGAAAGGTGACATGATCAATAAGGGAGTGATGACTGAGACGACGGATAGTTGTTTCGAGGACGAAAACCTAGTGCGCCATACGGAAGTAGAATAAGATAGAGGTTATGATGAAATATATATGAGAAAGAGAAATATTTTATGTTTTATATCCAGGTTGAGGATAAAAGGATTCAGAGCAAAGGATGCCGGCGTATATACATGTCATAACGATGAAGATAAAGGAAGGGAAATGAGTGTTACAATCAAGCACTGGCCAGATGTGGAACAAGACAATTTAGAAGGTAAGGAATGGTTTCCTTTAAAAGCAAACACAACTGGATACTTGTTTTACTTGAAATAATCTTCGGAATGTGATCTTTGATATTTTCTTCGATGACTTTATTAACCAGATGTTTAAACATGTTGAGATAAAAGTGTTGCATTTTAATGCCAATTTTAAAACGTCCTTTATGCATTGCTCTTTAACTTTTTTTTAATAAATACTGCATTCTGTATGAAATCTTCGTATTCCATGTTTAAAATTTAAGTCACAAAATGTTTTCCATTTCAAGGAAAGTGTTTAACAAAATGTATTTCAAGTATATTTGTTTGCAGAATACCAATCAGATATCGACATGCAACGACCGATGCCAGAAATATTAGCTCAACACGAAGCTCCCTTAGAGAACAATACTTTGGAAGAAAAACCAACGGATGTGAAAAGATTGACGAAAAGTTTAAAATATAGGGAATATGATAACAAAGACGAGGACGTCGATGATAAAAGTGAAAGAGAACATCCTAACTATGGACATGTGGATGATACTAAAACAAAATACGCTCCTAAATTTAAACATCCCTCAAAAATGTTCAACATGGATATGAAGCCAGCAGGTAGTTCGATAAGACTGAAATGCGCTGCTGATGGTAAGAATCATCAATTTCATTATAGTAAAATGTTCTCACACCTTGTTGAGATTGAATACTTTCCCAAAAGCATTTGTTAAACTCAAAATTTGCAACTGCAAGTTGCAGCATGAAATTCGTATCTCAGCATCTAATGAGAACAGAACTACTACTACTAATTTGAAAGCCTTTTAAACGGTGTGCACTTGAATGAATGAATGAATGATCAAATCTGGGTAAGATTTATTTCTTCACTTATAGAGCATTTGTATTTCAAATTGCAGGAAATCCAACGCCAAATATCACATGGTTTAAAAACAACGGCACACCCATCATGAGGACGTACTTCCAGCCGTCTTATGGCAAATGGTCGATGACGCTCGACGAATTAACCAAAGCCGATAATGGAAACTACACTTGTCTAGTTTGTAATGAACTGGGCTGCATCAATCATACAGTCATTCTTCACATACAAGGTACAATAAATATTTTATAAAATACATTTTTAGCAACTACGAACAAATTTTTATTAAAAAAAAATTAATTACAAGATGACTTTATTATTTGATTGGACACAAAATCTATCTGTTTTTACGTCGGGAATGTTGCCACACTAAAAATGTCTATTATTCCTAATCTATAGAAAATAGAAATATGTCGTAAAGGGATTAAAATAATAAAATAAAACATGTTAAGGACCTGAACCACAATTATTATAAATTGTCAGATAACAATCCAACGTATGAATATATTTGATGGAAATATCGGATTTTCGTACTCTATCTAACAGTGACGTCATTTTTAACCTATCTGAGACACTAACAGCCAGCGGTGGGACCCTTAATGTTTGACTTGATAGATTTATTTTACTCGTGTGTTCCACATTCTTCCCACGTCAGTAACATTGTAAGGCCTAATTTTAAAGTTATGGTTTTCACATACTAATTAAGTTACATTATATCTAGTACATTAAGGTCAATATTTTAGTAAGTCAAGTAACGGATAGAATTAATCCGCTTTATATCTGTGCTAAATTTCTCTAGAACGGTACCCATCGAAGCCGTACATAAAGGAAGGATATCCGGGCAACGTAACGGTCCTCGTCAACGACACGGTGAAGCTATCCTGCCCACCTGTATCCGATTTAGAACCTTATTCCTATTGGATAAGACCTTCAAATTATTCCCTAAAAGACGCAGAAGTAGGACCGAGTGATGCGCCAATACCAGCTGGGGATGTTATTGAGGTTAATTTTGAATTTGGTGGAGGTCCAAAAGAGTGCTAACAAATCGGTTACGGAATATGTAAATAGAGTTTTAAGTCATTTATAAAGATAATAATGACAAATACTAACTGTATTCAATTTACCGGTGAAGGCAGTAAGCTAATTCTTTTTTTAAAAAATAGTTAGGATAGTTGTAAGGTGACGGGAAATAGTCAAATCAGTACTAATATAAGTTAAAGTACTTTTAAGATTTTGTATTCGGTGATAAATGGTTAATATGGTAAGTTAGCAATTTATGGTGACAGTATGTATATTTTAGGTTATTTCTAAGGTCTGTAATTAGGATTAGCATAACTATAGTAAATAACAAATATTTAAAATAGTGACGTTGTAATTATAATCCACAAAATGTTAACACACTAATCTTTTTTTATAGAGCGTTTATACGCGAAACCAGTGCTAACCCAGGGTGTAGTCAACCAGACCAAATTGGTCGGTGAGACGGCGAAGTTAAGCTGCGAATTCCTTTCTGATCTCCATCCGTACGTCTTTTGGATGTTTTTCACAAATGACGAGTACAATTATAATGTCACTATTGACACCAACGAGGGTGCCACTCAGGAGTCCATTGTGTTCTACGACAAGACTAAACTCATGACGGTGAGGGTGGTGACTAACATTATCTGTGGGTTGCATAGCATGTCATTTTAATGAATATGGTATCATCTTTTATATTGCATGATTTGTCCATCCAAAGACATTTAATATATAGACCAGGCATAGTGAACAAAAATTAGCCGGTACTTTTGAAAGGTACTATATTAAAGTTGTACGTCACCTCGTGTCCTTTTATTGACATGTAATAAAACATTTTATAAAATTATAATAAGCTCCATCTTTTGGCAAAAAATAAAACATAATGGTTTCTGTGACTATTAATAGATGGAGTCAGTGAAGCGTAATCTATGCCTCCTCTATGTGTTTTTGATTGTATCTAATAAATTTAAACTATTTTATATACTTACTGAGTGTTTCGAGATATCTTCTTTCAGACTTTATTGTATTTCTGTATCTGCGTTCAAACACACTTCCGCTTTTCTTTTTATTGTTTAGATTTTTTAGAATATTGTCGATATTTTCATTGTTACACTTATTGCACGATGACAAGTCGCCTATGCACGAAAACATCATACTAATTCTTAGAGCTTGCGCACACCTTTGACTAAACTATCACAACTGTTGTGCGATTAACGATTGTCGATTGTTTCACAGCCAATTCAACCGTTTAGTTGCACAAGTAAAGATCGATTAGTGTGCGTATCCATATAAGTTTATAGGAATCAAAGCAACAAAACAGTTGTGCGATAGTTTAGTCAAAGATGTGCCCGCGATCTTACAGTCTATGTTATGAGCTTGTCTATATAAATAATATTATTTGTTTGCAACATTATCAATAATGGGAATAGATTGTATGTTTTTATAAATTAAAAAAAAACCCTTGTATAACAATGTTGAAATAATCTCGTAGAGTGAAGACCCATTGGATTTGCCCGAACAACTGACAATATTCAATGTAACCAAGGAGGACGAGGGCTGGTACGTTTGTGTAGCTCTCAACACTTTAGGAAACACCACAGCTAAAGGATATCTTTCTGTTGTTGATTGTAAGTAAAAACTGTATTAAATCAAATTAAGTTTTCGTTAAACATGAACTTATAAGAAAACACTTCCGTATCATCATGATCATCCACTTACCCTTATCCCTTACGGAGGGTCGGCACATATGTGCTGCTGTTCCATTCATCTATATCAGTCGTCATATCTGAATCCACTCCTTTCTTAAGTACATCCTCTTTCACACAATTCATTTATACTTTCTTCGGTCTTCCTCTTCCTTTGTAGCCATCCACATTCAATTTTAACACTTTCTGGGTTATTCCCCCATCGTTTCTTAAGAAAACACTTACGTATAAGGGCCGATAAAGATAGACGAATAAATTTTAAAAATGCATAAAATAGATATGAAAGACCTGACCGGGAACATAAGAGGCTCTGATGTTTCTAACATCCATTTTATTAACATTTCAGCATTCCCAGCACCAGAGCCTATAAACCACGGAAAGCACACGTTGTTTATAAATATTTTAACAGCGGTGTTAGGCGCGATGTTTTTAGTCGCTGCTTTGGTAGTAGTGATGATATTCAAAAAGTTGAAAAGAGAGAAGATAAAGAAGCAACTAGCGATAGAAACAGCACGTGCGGTGATCGTGACGCACTGGACGAAAAAAGTGACAGTGGAAAAGCCACAGATGAACGGAACTCCCAGCACGACTGGTGAAGGTTTGGTAAGTATTTTTTTCTTCTCGAACAAGATAATAGCCTCAGTGGCTCAGGGGTTTAAGCACTTGACTTGTCTTGGGTTCGAATCCCGCCAAATACCAATTCGATTTTCTTAAGTACATTATTTACCGGACGTTCTTATGGTGAACTAAAACATCGTGATGTCTGCTCATATCGGCGAAAAATTCAGATATGTGTGAAGTCAACCCGCAGTGGGCCAACGGTGGCCCCTCAGTGGTGACGTATAGTGAGCTGGTGATGTACTAATAGTAAGAATGAACTAATTTTAAGAAGTTGGGATAAATTGATGGTTTAGGATGCATTCGTAGACTACTGTTAATTTTTTTTTATTTACTTCCAGTTGATGCCGGTTGTGAAAATAGAAAAACAAAAATTGTCACAAGTGCAGGGCAACACAAGCGATTCAATGATGATGTCGGAATATGAACTGCCAGTAGACATCGACTGGGAAGTGCCCAGAGAGTCCTTGTCGCTGGGCAAGATTCTGGGAGAAGGAGAATTCGGGAAAGTGGTCAAAGCTGAATGCGTAGGGATTCTGAAGCCGGGAGTTCAGTCTGTGGTAGCTGTTAAAATGTTAAAAGGTAATTTTGCAAATAATGTTTATATTCATATTATGAGGACCACACAAGAATATAAGTTGGATTATGTTCTCGTCTATTCGTGATAAGAATAGGTCTCTAAAATTAAGTAAATTTGTGAGTTTTTAATATTAAAATTGGACAAAAGATCAATAGTGTTCCAGGCAGAATCTAAAGTTCTTTTATTGTAATTCCAGAGGGTCACACGGATGCGGAGATGATGGCGCTTGTATCTGAGATGGAGATGATGAAGATGATAGGCAAGCACGTGAACATCATCAACCTGCTCGGCTGCTGCACGCAGGATGGTCCGCTCTACGTTATCGTTGAGTACGCGCCTAACGGAAACCTGAGAGAGTTCCTAAGGAATCATCGCCCTGGAAATAGGTATGAACTAATCTATAAAACAAAAGTTGAACGGATCTAGATGAAATTTGGCATAGATATAGAACATAATCTGGAAGAACACATAGGCTACTAAGTTTTTTTTTAATTCCACGCGGGTGGAGTCACGGGAAAAGCTAACTAGAACCAAACATTTAGAATACAACATTGAATGTCAAGACATAAATTTTCTTCGCTTCTAGTATTCTAAATGTATAAAGTCATGTCTTGACTTAATTAATCGTTAATGACCTAAATGTTGATTTTTCAGATATGAATCACCAACGGAAGACTTGAAGGAAAAGAAAACTTTAACACAAAAAGATTTGGTATCATTTTCATACCAAGTAGCTAGAGGAATGGAATACTTAGCATCAAGACGGGTAAGAAAATCTACTTGAATTAAAAGTAATAACAGCTAGTTGTCATCATTTTCCTCCACATAACTCCATCTCACTCTCTTCTTGAAGTAATCTTTTACGAAATACACCCATCTCTTTCTAGATTTACCTCTACCCGTGTACCTCCACAACTAACGTTCTTCTCGTGTTTGTGTATGCAAGTGAATCTATTTGTATTAATTATAACTCATTGCAAATTTTCCAGTGCATCCATAGAGACTTAGCAGCACGTAACGTGCTAGTCTCAGACGACTGTGTTCTAAAGATCGCAGACTTTGGTCTCGCGAAGGACGTGCACAGTAATGACTACTACAGGAAGAAGACCGAAGGCCGGTTGCCTGTGCGATGGATGGCACCGGAGTCACTTTACCATAAAGTCTTCACGACACAGACTGATGTGTAAGTAGTAATACAAGTAATTGTGAGTTTGTTGACTGTAAAGAGACATAGAGTAGGCATAGTTGACACTTTCCTTGAAACATTTTTCGCATAATCTCACTAGCAGTATCTATTAGTTATTTATTATTCGTTATTTTGTGTGGAAGAGCCGGCTTTAACATCTTCGCACGAATGGGTCGGCTCGCCCGGTGAAATACCACGACCACACAGAAGACAGGCGTGAAGTGAAAGCAATTCCGCGTTTCGTCTGATGAGTGTGGTGCCGGAGGCCCAATTTTAGTCCTTTTCCCGTCCACCTTTTCCTTTAAGAGAAGGATGGATGGGTAAGTGGATTTGACGGTGGAGGAGACGCATAAGATGGGGAAATATTCTCTTTATGTGCTTATCCTCCTTTGTCGATTTAGGGTAGGCAACGCATCTGCAATTGCGGATGTCTATGGGCAGCGGTCACTTCGCCATTTTGGCGGATTTTGGTGGCTGCTTGCTCGTTTGCCACCTTTTTGTATAAAAAAATAGTAAATCCGCAAAACAACATTTAATTGCCAAGGTGTAGATATAGATGTAGGTGTGGACGTAGGTGTAGTTTATAATATAACAAAAGATGGAGCTGATTATGGTTTTGAAAAATCTTTTATTACATGACAATACAAGTGCACGAGGTGGCACTAAACTTGATAAAAATTTATGTAGTGCACGAGGTGGCTCTAACCTTGACAACTGTTACACCTTTCAGAGAAAGTTATTGAAAGAACTAGTTAACTGTCAAGTCTACAAATTTTACAACTGATATAGTACCTTTCAGAGACAGTACCGGTGAAAAAAATTGCTCAATGTAGTCTATATATTTCTTAAATGTCTATGGTTACATTCGTAATTCATGTATTCATGTAATAATGTAGTAGGTGTAAACTCTATTATTTCCTTTATATTTTTGTAGATGGTCGTTCGGCGTGCTCCTGTGGGAGATAATGACGCTGGGAGGCACGCCGTACCCGACAGTGCCGGGACAGTACATGTACCAGCATCTCAGCGCAGGACATCGTATGGAGAAGCCGCCTTGCTGCAGCCTTGAAATGTTAGTAACAACTTCATAGTGTAGGAATACACCACAAAGTGTCAAATGATTGAATAAACAGTTTAAAAGAATCCAGTGATGGAACTTTATTTATGTAGGACTAGCTTTCGCCCGCGACTCCGTCCGAAGGGAATTGAAAAAAACAAAAGTGAATAGCCTATGTGTTCTTCCAGACTATTCTCTAAATCTATGCCGAATTTCATCGAAATCCGTTCAGCCGTTTAAGCTACAAACTCTAACAAACATCCATCCATCTATCTAAAGTTTTACATTTATAATATTGGTAAGATTGCCGACTAAACATGTAAATATAAACACAAACATATTTATTTTATAGGCAAACATTCATAGAAAGATAAACAATGTGCAAACAACAATTACCTTATATCTAACAAGTTTTAATAAATCTTTAGTAATAATACAAGTAACATTAAACAAATGACAAAACCTTGGTCTAGGTGGGATAGTGGTTAAGCGCTAGTTTTGCAATTAAAAAAAAATAATCGAAAAAAGCATAGTAAAAATCAGGCTTATTGACATATACGGTACAAAATATTAATTGATTGTGAGAAAGAGCATAATTTTAAGTAACCAGTAAATTCAAAATTTAAAATCGTACATACCGTATATTAATTTATCAACTCTTCTTACCCTATGAAAGACAAAAGGGATGATGACGGCCAATAATAACTATGTTTTTCCAGTTACATGCTGATGCGTGAATGCTGGTCCTTCTCGCCCGGCGACCGGCCATCTTTCACCGAACTGGTAGAAGATTTGGATAAAATATTAACCGTGACAGCAAATCAGGAATATCTCGACTTAGGATTGCCCCAACTTGATACACCGCCATCTAGTTACGACGGATCCGGTGATGAAAGTGACAGCGAATTCCCTTTTATAAAATAATATTCAATTTTGAGTTTAACTTCCATTGGAGTTTATTTACATGTTAATCCATTGATGCGTTTATATAACGCTTAGATTATCGACTTGAAGGAGCAAGCAATGTATGTTGCATAATGTGAAATTGTCGAACAAGTCTGAATAAAAGGTAAATTGTGACTTTTATTCACATGTAAATATCAAATAAACATAAAAATAATCTTCGTAATTTTGAAAACAGTGCAAAAAACTTTTATTTAGCATTTTGACAAATTTACATAAAACTGTTTTGTTCCAAGTTCATCAGAGTATTAAGTTAGTTAGGAAAATTTTAATTAAACGAAATTATTTTTGACCCACCTGTATATTGAATATTTTCATACATTAAATATTAGGATATTAAGGGCCTGCCCCACCACTGTCTGATAGAGGCTCAGATAGCTTAAAATTGACGTTACTGGCAGATGAGGGAACAAAATCCGATATTCCCATCACATATTTTACACGTTGGATTGTTATCAGACAATTAACAATTTGGTGGGACAGGGCCCTAAATTAAGAATTATATACCTTATATATCGGAGTATTATAAGTAGAGTAGTGTGTTTATATACTATTCTGATTTTGAAAATAATTACGAACAATGAACTTAGAAATAAGTACATGAACTCGGAATTACCAAAAAAATCATAGTTTTTAATAATTTTTCTAAGAATTTATTTATTATTAAATGTACCAAAACATTTATCGCAAAGTATTTGATTTTGTATATAATTTTTTTACGGCTTTTGTCGTATATTTTAAATTTTGTACATAAATGTTATAGAACCAAAGTTCGATTTATATTATTTTTGTTAAGTGTAATTGTACTGGAAACTATTGTATTATGTAACGTTTTTTTGTGACTGTAGAACAAAATACTCGCTTTTACAAAACATTTTGTCATGGGTTTCTTACCTATAAAAATACTCATTACTGAAACACATTTTTTTATATTTAGCATTTAATATTTATACAATCTTGATAGAATAATGTTAATAATGTTTATTTCAATTTTAAAACATAATTTAATTAGTCATTTGCTGGTGGGCTAAGTAAAAACTAAATTATGATAGCTCACTAGCGCCATCTCTACTTCATATTTTCAATCTCCATGTACGTTTTACAAATTGACATCCAAATTAATAAGAAAAAGCGATAACAGCGCCTCTGTTACTGGGATAGATATTCTTGTTTGACTATAAAAAGCAACCTTGTCCTGGATCTAGTTTAAATGAGATTTTAATGTATTTATATTTTTGCATGAATAATTTTTACATGTACTTAACTAGATTTTAACTTGACTATAGTGAGGAATGAATTAAGTTAAGCTTAGTGAAATGAATTAAAAATGTAAATAATTGCATATTTTACGGAAAGTTAATATTAAATAAATTCTGATCACGTTAAATTAAGCTGTCTTTTTACAAATGGAATTTTAGCGCCATCTATGAAGTATTATGTGAAATAAAAACATCGAGTGAAATATTACGATTTGTCGATGTCAGAGTTTATTTGTACGAATGTAATGAATTTTTGTATATTTGATTTCTCCATGAAATGTATTAATGTTGTACAAAATAAAGAAAGTGACAATAAAGTAAATTTATTTGACGTTTTATTTAACCTAAAGTCCAAGTAAAATTAAAAACCTTACTGTAGGAACAAAGTAAAGAAGTTAATTATGTATTTTATAACGGTGACAAATGATTTCGAAACGAAACTTAAAAAACATGTCAAAATAATTGTTAATTTTTTTTAAATGAATACCCCAAATTTCTTAGTTTTTATTAATCAATAATATATAATATATCGGTTATATTCTCACAAAAAATATTTATATACAAATAAGATTAATGTTGCGACATCTATTATATTATATACAAACTACAATTGTTTTGTGACTTTCATCACTTTATTGTTTTACGTCTAGTCTAAATCGAGACTTTTATTATTTACTAATAGTTAAAATTATAATTAAGTATATTCAATAAAAGGGCGATAAAACTCTTTTTATTTAAAAACATACATAGATGGGGTTCACTAATATTTCAACCAGGATGGGAAGGATACACAAATTTACCAACAGGTGGCGCTGATATAAACTGTCCTTATAAATTGTATTCAAAAATTGCTGCAGAGATTTTTTATGTGGTTTTAATATAAAACATCAAAATTAGCATTTAAACACATAAAACATTTTTAATATTAGGATAAGATACATTGTTAAAAAAAAATATAATTATAAATAAAACTTAAAAAATACTTTAGCTACCGCCAACGTCCATACCACGTTGAAAACACCGGTTCTCGTCCGATCACCGAAGTTAAGCAACGTCGGGCGCGGTCAGTACTTGGATGGGTGACCGCCTGGGAACACCGCGTGATGTTGGCTTTTTGTTATTTTTTTTTTGTTTTGTTTTAAAAATCGCGTAATCAGAGTTCCATTATTCTAATCCGTATTAAAGGAAACAATGTTATAAATACAGTTATATTTATTTACATAAAAATAACATAAAAAATAGTTTTCGTAAAATAAGCTAAAGCAGTCGCCAACGTCCATACCACGTTGAAAACACCGGTTCTCGTCCGATCACCGAAGTTAAGCAACGTCGGGCGCGGTCAGTACTTGGATGGGTGACCGCCTGGGAACACCGCGTGATGTTGGCTTTTTGCTGTTTAAAACAATATCAATTTGCGTTTCCCATTTTGTTTTTTTTTATACATTTTTAAATACAACATTACTGTTTAAAAACCTATATTCACTAACCGAATTCTATGACTTCGTACAACTATACCTTGTTTTAATTAAAACATAAATCACCGTCACTTCCGCTTCGGTTTGGGAGCTTATTTGAGTTCATAAACAAAAGCTTACAGCGAAATTTACACAAGGGACTAGGCCCTTGTCACTGTCTTAATTACCTCAAAGCTGGGGTAAAATATTTGACCAAAATTAAAATTTATTGAGTTGATTAATTTAACAGCACAAAACATTGAAGTCTTTCGACCTAAAGTTACTTTTTTTATCTATTTAATAGTAATTACAATAAGTAATCAGACTAAGAGATTGCGTTTTGACAAAGGCTAAAAAACACTGGTAGTCTTACTTACTTTTATAAATGCGAAAGTTTAGATAGATGGCTGGATGTTTGTTACAGTTTGTAGCCTAAACGGCTGAACGGATCTCGATGATTTTTTTTTTATAATAGAAGGTGGCAAACGAGCAAGCGGCCACCTGAATCCGCCAAAATGGCGAAGCGACCACTGCCCATAGACATCCGCAATTGCAGATGCGTTGCCTACCCTCATTCGACAGAGGAGATGCACATAAAGAGGATATTTCACCTTCCTATGTATCTCCTCCTCTGTCAAATCCACTTCCCCTTCCCATCCTATTCTTATAAGAAAAGGGTGGTAAAGAAAAAAGGACTTAAATTAGGCCTCCGGCACCACACTCATCAGACGAAACACGGAATTGCTTCCATTTCATGCCTGTCTTCTGTGTGGTCGTGGTATTACACCGGGCGTGCCGGCCCATTCGTACTAAGATGTTAAAGCGGGCACTACCACTGTATTTCTGTAATTTGGCATAGATGTAGAGTACAGTCTGGAAGAACACATAGGCTACTTAGTTTTTTTAAATTCCACACGGACGCAGTCTGGCAAAAGCTAAAATATTTCTTAGTCGCCAGTTATATCATATTGGTATCGAATAGTCATCGAGGCCAGTTGTTAGCTAACGAACTACAATGAACGCCGCGCTTCGATGAGTTTGCTATCAATTTGCTTCTTATAATAGCTTGTTATGGCCACCAGACTATAGCTTTCAAGTGTGCATGGCGCTAATGATTGCTTGTTTATGATCAACATTTCATAAGATCAAAATATACACTAGCAGTTGCTCGGGACCTCGCCCGCGTGAGATTCAAATTATAGCCTATGTTACTTACTGATATATATATACTTTTTAATGGTGAAAGAATTTTTAAAATCGGTGTAGTAATTTTTGAGTTATTGCAATACATAAAAAATCAAATTTCCTCTTTATAATATTAGTGTAGATAAATTTTGAAAGCAATTCCCTTACTTTTTGAGATAAATCAAAATGTTTACTAGTTACTCGCTTCCGAGTACGACTCTTGTCTACGTGTCTTGCTTATGTGTTCTTTTATACTATCCTACTTCTATGCTATTTCGCGATCCGTTCAGCAGTTTAGGCCACAAACTCTAACAATCGGACCGCTATCTCTGGAACGGGTGGGCCGATTTAGACGGGACTTTGACTGGAAGGCAGCTGGTAAAAAGTAGATGCACGCGGGAGTGTTATAGACGACCATTTTTTTTAGTCCACGCTTAAAATAATATCTGAATGTAGAGTTAGACACGGTTTTTGTGATAACCATAATGCAAGTCGACATAAACATCTGTCGACGTATGATTAGGAAATATACATTCTAATGATGTAGCCCTCGCGTTGGATTAGAAATTGTAAGAAACAACTGTAAATCAACCTGAGCGAATGTATGATTAAGTACATTGATTCAAGTATAAAATAAAGTAGCGTTGTGTCTGCGTATGCTTAGATCTTTAAAACTAAGAAACGGATTTTAATGAAGTTTTTTAAAAAGATAGACTAATTCTAGGGGAAGGTTTATACAAAATACATCTAAGTATATCTATACTTGTATTGTCAAGAGGAAAGATTTGTATTTTTGTATGTATTTGATTCACGAAAAATCTACTGGACCGATTTTAAAAATTCGTTCACCATCAGAAAGGTAATTTATCTATGAGTAACATAGGCTATATTTTACTATTACTAATGTTTAGGAACTATTAATAAACAGCGTGTTTCTGGACGCCGGCGTTAAAAATTCAACAAACTAACTATTCTCGGCTTACGCTGCCTAAACCGTTAGGGGTATATAAAAATGATGTATCAAAGAATTGTAGATCTCAAAAAGTTCTACAGAAAAGCGATAGCATGTATAGTTATATAATATAGTAGAGAAATACTGATATTTTAAACTAAAACTAAACAAATTAGATTTGCAGCGCCCCTACCGGGCGTGAAGCACATTAAATCTCATATGTCGAAGACGTTACGAATACGTTCTCGCAACTGTTCCTCTAATATTCGTGATAGACCCTGTGAACCTTTCTCATGACGGCAAGGTCAAATAACTAATTAGTGTGGGAACAATTAGAAGTATCAATTAAATGAGAACTTATGTAGAAAAGTAACAAAGAATTGGCGATATATCTTGTATTGAAATTTTACATAATAATTTTGGTACATTGTCTATCATAACCGAAATAATAATAATAAAGAAGTAAAGAAAGGAATAAGAAGGAAGGAAGAAGTTTATGAATTTCCATAGAACGAAGTAATACGAAAGGACAAGAGTTTTTTTTATGTTCTTGCAAAATTCCCTTTTAAATTTCAAACTGATAAATCGTGTCACTGTGTTACATTTTCAAATCTTATTACGTCATTTCGATGATGTAAAGAATCCAAAATTTAGAAAAAAATGATTTGCATTTATTTGAATTGCAAAATATTGGAATTTTTAAAAACTACACAATTTACTTTTAAATTTAGTGTTTGGTCTAAATTCGAAAAATATATCGTTATCTCTTAATTTTATTTTCGATTGATTTGGAGGGTGCACACCTTTGACCAAATTATCGCACAACTGTTCCGTCCCGCTTTGATTCCTATCAGCTTTTACGGAGGTGCGCACATACTACTTGATTTTAGTTGTGCAACTAACCAGTTGAATTGGCTGCGAAACAATCGACAATCGCACAATAGTGGTGCGATAGTTTAGTAAAAGGTGTGCGACCACTTTTATATAGCTGTATCATAATAATCTTACTAATATTATAAATGTGAAAGTTTAGATGGATGGATGGATGTTTATTAGAGTTTGTAGTCCTAACGCCTGAACGGATTTCGATGAAATTTGGTACAGATGTAAAGTATAGTCTGGAAGAACACATAGGCTACTCAGTTTTTTTTTAATTCCGCGCGGACGAAGTCACGGGCGAACGCAAGTATGATATAAAAGAATAACTCAATAAATAATAATTCGGCCTTTACTTTAATAATACAATAAAACAAATTCATCAAAACCGTAACTGTAAACAAGGTCGGACTGTGGGAACACCGGCTACTGCAGAGCATACAATATCTAGAAAGGACATCCAAAAAATAAACGCAATTGCAGACATTTTAATTAAAATTATTGGAATTTAAATTTAAATAATAAATCGATGTATATTTAAAGCGACTCTATTCGTTTAATATATTGTTAAATAACTCACCTACTTACTTGATTTATTATAATAATGAATTAGATTCAGTTACCACAGTTTATATAAGAATTGCATCGAATTAGTGACTCGTAAAATACATTTAAATTACTCTGCCATTTGTAACTTAGTCATAATATGTTTTGCGTTACAACATATACAATGTTCATCATAATTTTGGACCACAATTGAATGAATCACAAATATACTATCATTACTTAATACGAGACAAAGAAAATGGTTCCTTTCTCATACCAAGGTTGACTAGAGATTGCAAATAGACCCTAGTCAAATATCTTGATATCGTTAAGACAATGTTAAGACTTTAAGGTGGGCTACCACTGCTATTACGAAATTAACTCTTTAGTACATAAACCTAAAGGAAGAAACTAACCTAAGAAAAGCTTACCGGATTTTTTTACCGGACTTTTACATAAAAACTAGCTTTTGCCCGCGACTCCGTCCGCGTGGAATTAAATAAAACAAAAGTGTGTAGCCTATGTGCTCTTCCAGGCTATCCTCTACGTCTGTGCCAAATTTCATAAAGATCTGTTTAGCAGTTTAGGCTACAAACTTAAACAAACATCCATCCATCCATCCAAAGTTTCGCGTTTATAATATTAGTAAGATTAGTTCGCTTTCGTGGTAGTGATTTAGGCGTGAATCGAAGTTAAAACATTAAGATTCCCGTGATGGTTCCGTGCGCGTCTATTCGCAGATTTACGTACGGTGGAAACGCACCTTAAGAATTTGTGTAGGTTGTTAAAACAATGAAATTTTCGCGGCCTTAATCCGGATGGTTGGTAATTTCATAACAATTGTTATTTATACTATTGTTTTTATTTTATTATGTACATTTTTAAGATAGTATATCAGTTATGCAATAATATTTATAATATTTGAATTTAATTATTGCAATTTATGTATATTTATGACGTTCTAATTACTTATGATGTTACGATGTTATATTCTTGATATACTAGTTAACTGTAGGTAAGATCACGATAAAGCGCTGATTTAAAAAATCATAAAAAAAATATCATCATTTTAATTTTATATTGTAGTAGTGTTTTCATATATTTTAATTATTAACCATCTAAAAAATAAGTCAAAATGGACTTCATACGATACCAATATTCAATTCGAAATTTTCCGACAGATGGATGTTTGTTAGAGTTTGTAACATAAACGGCTGAACGGATTTCGATGAAATTTGGTACAGATGTAGAGCATAGTCTGTAAAATACATAGGGTGCTCACTTTTGTTTTTTTTTTAAATTCCACGCGGATGGAGTCGCGGACGAAAGCCAGTTTAATAAGAATAAGCTACTCAGGACCTGTCCCACCTAGCTGATAGAGGCTCAGATAGCTTAAAAATGACGTCACTATCAGATAAGAGAACAAAATCTGATACGTTCCATTGTTATCAGACAATTTACAATTTGGTAGGACATGACATGTAATATCTTTTTTTTTATTGCACGCGGAGGAAATAGCGTGGAAAAGATAATTATTTATAATAGTCCCGTGATTCCGTATTAAAAGTTCCAGGAAACATCTACACATTTTCCTATAGATAACAAATAAAACAGAAAGGAACCTCAAATATTACCAGTACAAAGTATTTCTTCAATAAAAGAATTTTCAGAACGAACGTCCCCTCTAATTGGCCACTTATAAAATTCTGAATTTGAAGAGATTTTTGATGGCGAATATTTCCTCATAATTTTTCCGGGAAACAGATAAAATATAAACCTTGTTGATTCTACGAGTACATCATTAATTTGTTTGTGTACGTATTTGTTTGTAAGTATTCTGATTACGATTTTAAGGGCCTGTCGCACCAAATTGTAATTTTCTGATAACAATCCAACACGTAAAATATCGGATTTTGTTACCTTATCCGACAGTGACGTCATTTTTAAGTTATCTAAGCCTCTATCAGTCAGTGGTGGGACAGGCCCTCAACATTTATTGTAATTTTTAATAAAAAACGGGGTTTTGTACAATCATTTTCCTAATGATCAGAGCTTCCAAGTTAGGGATAACTAAAGTTTTCTTTCAGTATAATAATTCGGATATTACTAACTATAAACATACAGCCGAATAGTGAAACGACGCAATAATAACGCGTCTTAAATGATAAGGCCACGCTTGAACCCCAAATTAATTTTTGACGCCTGACAGATTTTAAGCGGCGCTTCTGAAGCTAAGTTAAAGATTTGTTTCAAAATACGACCGTTAGTTTATAAAAAAATTTAAGAGCTATTTTAAATTATACAATGGCCCGTTGAATCGTTATAGTGAAATTACATTAGGGCTGATTCGTCAACAATCGTTTATTTCAATATTACGTCAGTAAAACAAAAAAAGTTTTGGATACGAAATTCCTTGGCCATCTCTATTATGTCAAAATTTTCGTATTCAATGACTTTAATTAATCACAAACATTGACAAAAGGTTATGTTATCCTTCGGAATTTAGCCTCGTTTCTTGCGTCACAAAATCTCCGCAGGGTTTGTACCAAAAGTATTCGTCATACCTCAGTGTAGGGACCACGTACAGTTGAGGAGACTGGCGGTGTTCCTTATATCTATATTCGTTAGAACATTTTGAAACAAGACACGGAAAAAAAATCAATAAAACGAAATTATAAATTGTAATGTAGGAGTGTGAATAAAATGGCGGTTGATACTGATTTATTACGAGTTAACTGACGGTACATTATATTAAGGTACCCACATATATACCGCATTGTTTTGTGTCTGTACGAAATCTGTTAATGATACCCGGCTTGTTTCTCTTTATTAGTATTCCTTTGCACCATTCACTTCTATATAATTAGTTATTGTAGTAAAAGGCGGAGTTTGTCTCGTTACAATGTATAAGGCAAATTTTCCTAAAGTAGAACATCACGAAGTTCCGCGACTGTACACTAATATTATGTAATTTTAGATACCTAGATGATGATGGTACTTTATAGTATACTAGTTTTAGCCCGCGACTCCGTCCGCGTGGAATTAATAAAAACTAAGTAGCCTATGTGTACTTCCAAACCATACTCTGCATCTACGAGTATGCCGAATTTTTAGGCTACAAACTCTAATAAACATCGATCCATCCATCTAAACTTTCGCATTTATAATATTAGTAAGAAGTAAGAACCGTATTACTCTACAAGTATTTAAATTTGTCATATAAATACCAGTTATGTTTGGTCAAATTATTGTAACTGTTTATATCAGTTGTGCACCACGAAGACATTGTAAAGCCACGAGATAAGTATTTTTAAATAAATCACTATCATGTGTGAAAAACTAAAATGGATAAGATATAGAAATAAAGTGTTAAAAATATATTAGTTTTAACACACGCAAACACGCATACGAGATGTACACGCCGTGTGATTCACAGATAATTGTGTAAATGAAGAAAAAATTATTGAATTTAGAAAATAAAATAACAGTAGAATAATTATCTATTAATTACTGCAACAACAACATACGGAAAGCTAGTAAACTGCAGTTTAAAAATTAAAAAACCAATAACTTTTGTGATATAGCTAACTTCAACCAACCTCCTACAGTCAGGCAACGAACTGACGTCAACCTCTCTTGGCAGTTACTATAATTGATATAATTAAATAACTCTGGTAACAATAGTAATAACAAACCCTTGTCTTCCCTGTGCTTCAACCCCACCACGTAGAAAGTGAACGTGCAAAACATTCGGTACTGCGCGCGCGCATGTCCATCACACGCGGCTCGGCGGTGACGCGAATCGAACGCCGCCGTTCCTTTGAATTTCAAATATCGAATTCATTTCTAATTCTTTTTTTATTCTGTGCCAGTGATTGAAGACAAAATGAAGATCGTAATACTTTTTGGTGAGTAAATTTTTTTAAAAATAGTTAATAATTGTCAAAATTGGGATAAAAATTAATTAATTTATAATAATTAGAATTATTCAAAAAACAGAAAAATAAATATAATTGTAGTGATTTTATATTTTATTTTGTATGCTTTTTTACACCAGAGAAAAGATCGATAAAAATATAACTTAAGAATTAAAATTAAACAATTTCAAATATTATTAATTGTTATATATTCGCTAAATTCTAATTTAATTATCCTTATTCTTTCACTTAATTCTAAACAACTTGCATGCGTACATTATCTTTACCATCGTAATTGCATGTCTATTCTCTCTTGTTGCGGTTTCAATAAATTATCTTCGCTGCATAGAAACACTGCGTTTCTGCATCTCGGTTTTTAAATTCAAAGTTAAATTACTATTATCTATATTTAATATTTATTAATAATACTTAGGACAAGTTAAGATTTTAATTTAATATCTTTTAAATGTTTTCTATATATTTGCCAACTAGGTAAAAATTATAGAAGATTATTTTTTGGATTGCCGAAAGTTAAAAATAATCACTTTTCCAACTACGTAAGCATTCAAAAGCAACAGTGAAACAAAATGCAATTCTACAAACAGTGAGATTCTAAATACCAATCGTTCGTCGCAAATCTTTAAATATTCCAATCAATTGAAGCGCAAGAGATCAAATAATCCATTTCATTAGTCGATATCCGATATTTACATAAACACGTTGTTATTCCAAAGTATTTGATCATGTGAAACTTACAGCATGCGAGATTTCTTTCGTGTCCAAGTCTAATGATCGATTAACAATGTTATTGTAAAGATTTTTTAGTACTTGTTGAATCCGGAACTGTGAAAATTTAAACAATTTAATAGTCTAGGAATAATATTAAGAATGTGAGGATGCCAATAATTCATTAAAATTTAATTAGATTAAGGATGAACATATTATTTTTTTTATAATATAAGGTGGCAAACGAGCAAGCGGCCACCTGAATCCACCGAAATGGAAAGCGACCGCTGCCTATAAACATCCGCAATTGGAGATGCGTTGCCTACCCTTAATTGACGGAGGAGGAGACGCACATAAAGTGGACATTTCCCCTTGCTATGCGTCTCCACTGTCAATTCCACTTTTCTTTCCCATTCTATCATCTTAAGAAAAGAGTGGAAAGGGACTTAAATTAGGCCTCCGGCACCACCCTCATCAGACGAAACGCGGAATTGCTTCCACTTCACGCCTGTTTTCTGTGTAGTTATACTGGGCGAGCCGACCCATTCGTGCGAAGATGTTAAAGCGGGCTCTACCACTGTTGTGTCATTGTCTACTATTATTATAAAGAGGAAAACTTTGTTTGTTTGATTGTAATAAATAGGCCCATTCGTACAAAGATGTTAAAGCAGCCTCTACCACTATAAAAAATTAAACATGGAAGTAAAGAGAGACGAAGATAAAGAGGGATAAAAAGATGAGATAGAAATATATCTCAACTTAATGGAAACATATCTTCTCTTAAAGTTAAGGATGTTTAGCTATTTATGTTTATAAAGTGTTTACAAATAGCTTAGCATAACTTACGTAATTAAGAATGCCTGGTCGTCAAAACGAATTCATAATATTCCATAATCACTGTTTAAATAAAGTCTATGCTAATTAAGGAAATATTTATTCATTATGTAATAAATAAACTCAAAAACTACTGGACCTATTAAAAAATCATATGATATTAAAAAGCAACTTTGTCATTGAGTAACATCATACTAATATCATAAATATGAAAGTTTAGATGGATGGATGGATGTATGTAAGAGTTTGTAGCCTAAACGGCTGAAAGGATTTCGAAATAATTTAGTATAGATATAGAGGATAATATGGAGGAACACATAGGCTACTCACTTTTGTTTATTTTTAATTCCACGAAGACGGAGTCGCGGGCGAAAGCTAGTAGGTTATATTTATTATCTACCCAGTTGACAAAGTTTTGGGCAAAAACTGTTTAATAATAAACTCAATACTGATATCGTATTTAATTCTAGTAAAATAACTGCTTCGTAGATTCCTTTCAGATGTTTCTTTTGTTTATCCAAAATTGCATTATCATGATATTGCGGTTTATTGCAGGATTTTATTGGCCTTAGAATAAAATTCGACATCTCTCTAGAGATTGAGATTTCTTTTATTCCACCTGGGAACGTCTGTATTTACTATTCTCGTAGTTTCCATGATTGGATCTCTTGTAAGGTCGTCTGAAGACCAATGCAACCGTATTTATTTTCGTTTTGTTACACCAAATTGTGAAGAAACTCTTTGTGTCTAAACGTTTATGCAATTCAATAAAATCACAAGTATCCATTGATTATTTTATTAACTCTGGCATAATTAACAGAGGAATTAAATGTAACACAAAACCAGCGGCATTGTTAACTAATTTAAAATCAAGTATTCAACGACTTAAATTCAAAATGTTCCTTACATTTTTTTATTTAATATTCAATATCGTTTAAATACTTTAACAACGACTGTCAGAATGAAAATAGAAAGAGGCAATTTCCTAGTATTTTGCGGAACAATGAACGAAACGGTCGCGTACTGGCTGAACACAAAGAGAGTTTTTGCCTCGCTGTCATCGACCCGGCGGGTTGCCGCCGCGTCAAATTGACAGCTGTCAACTGCCAAGTCCTCTAACAGTTTACGTCAATACTAATGATGACATTACGACTGATTTAATATATCTTTGTAATATTTTTAACTACTCCATTGACTTGGAATATAGTTTTATTAGCTGTTAAATTGCATTGGTACATAAGATTTACTGTATTTTTTTAAATCGATGTGCCACTGGCAGTAAATAATAACCTTTCTACCGAAGCCGTATTTCCTAACTATCCCTTACTTTTAATTCCGCATAAACTTTACGCGTTTCGCGGTTTTCCGCAACAATTTTACTCTTAGAACAATAAAAGTGGTGGCTTTATTACAATTGAAGATATAAATCTTTTACTGTTCACATGTTTCCTCAAAATGGCGGTTATTGTCTTTGGTTATTGTTATCTGTGAACATGAACACGCTGTGGTTAAGTTTTAATTTCATAATGTAACTGGCATAATACTTTTTAGATCAAACAAGTATATTAAGTGTCTAAAATAGTAGCATTTGTTTTTAAAAACATTTTACGATGAAATTTGACACAGATGTAAAATAAAGTCTGGAAGAACACGAGCTAATTCTTAAGTTTTTTTTTTAATTTTAAGGTAGATGTAGAAAATAAATAACAAAGCTAGTAAATGTTTCTTTCTTTATAAGTCAAATCTGTGAACTGTGAATGGTATTTTTTTTTCTAAAAATAAAGGCTACTCACCCAGAAAATTGTACGTAATGTACCGAATGCCTTTTGATTTTATTGGCCGTTACGAGTTAAGTAATCTATTCGGCGGCGATCGTCGCCCGCTTGCGACATCGATTTTAATGTTTACTCGATTAGGACCCTTCACTATAGCCTATTTGCGACTGATCATTTTGTATTTTACTTTTATCCTTGTGTTTAATATTGATATTTATTCTTCCTTATTTTATGTAGATGGGCTATAGATACGGGCTGATCGATGATTTAGGCTTGGCCCATCTAACATTTTTCGATTCTCTAGCGACGTCTACAGATAGTAATTATCGTTGTTTTATTAATCGATACTCTAGAGGAATGTTTCTTTACTATTCAAAAATTTTGCTTCCTTTTTTATTACATGTTTTAGACAATTAATTTGGAGTTATTGCCGGACTCAGAACTTGAATAGTTGCTAAGAGAGTCTAAGGATAGATTTAGAACAAGTATTCTGCACTAAGGGACTTCCTAATAATTGAATTAGTATTAGTACAGTTAGTAGAGATAACTGGTTAGTCATTTTATATAATAGTTAAATCATTATCTTACTAATATTATTCACCGCGGACGGAGTCGCGGGCAAAAGCTAGTCTTTAATAATAATTGTATCAGTTCTCTCTGCGTTCATTAAACGGCACTCAACGCTGAAGTGCTTGAGCCATAATGGTAAATGTTAGTATCGAAAGGTCAATAGAGTTCGTTAGTACGGAGACGATATCCTTGGTGAAACTCTGGGAAATGTCTGTTAGTGGGTTAGTTTGTATATTCCATCTAACTAACTACTATATATTTTATATGTTATTGGAGTTTAAAAGCCACTATTTAAATTGCAACGTATTATATTTTTGAGAGTATGTTATACTAATTGTTTTGATATTTGCCCGCGACTCCGTCCGCCTGAAGCCTCTGTGTCCTTTACACTGTCCTCCACATCTATACCAAATTTCTTCAAGATCCATTCAGCAGATTAGGTTACAAACTCTAAAAAAATCTATCTATGAATTTAAACGATCGCTTTTATAATATTAGTAAGATAAGCAAATTATTTGGAACGACATTTTATACTTTTCTGTATTTGGTCCAATTTAAGATTAAAATAGAGTTAACTTTTTGTTTGACTGAAAATATCTAAGTAGTTAAATTTTGCTTCGTTAGTACTAATGATTTATATTTTTGATAATTTTTAAAGTGAGGTTTGCTTTGCTTTTGTATTCGCAATGCAACATTAAATAAAAACTCCAATTAAAAATTAAAACATTCAATACATAAAAACAAGTCAATACATAAGTAATAATTACGCGTAGTTATAGACCTATTAGGGCGAGTTTAAATTAATACCCAGCCGTGTCTAGATACTGTGCTCCTGTCTAGACTGGTCTAAGTACAGTCTAAGATGTAACATCCTGTATTACCTACGGCAGGAAGACAGCGTTTTCTATTGATTATAACTTGTCGATTGTGAAATCTACACTGACATAAAGAGGTAAAATTTGTATTTTTGTTCGTAATGGATAAACTCAAAAAGTGCTCGATCAATTTCAAAGATTCTTTTGCTATTAAAATGCTATGTTATCATTGGGTGACATAGAATATATTTTTTAGATTTTTAATTCCGCG